GGACATGAGGGGAGATGTTCGAGGTGAAGATGCCTTCGTCCATAACTGAAAGGCATCTTTCATTCGAATCGTCCGCGGAATCATCCAATGTATGCTTCTCCTCAATCCTCATTAAGAGACCCCCCGCAGGTTCATCGTCTAGGATGTCCTCCAGAGGTGATGTTGGCTGTTGAAATCTTACTCGCACACATCGCATCTCCAATTGGGCCGAGGTGTAGTACCGTCCATGGCATCGTGACTGTGTATACCGTCTGGTCGTTGAACCACCCAGGAGCCGTCAATGAAATTGACCTGAATAGTCCAAAAGCAGGGATCGTCAATTTTAGCGCCACCTTACCACCTGAAGTGGCCCTCGAAAACCTGCGCACCTTTTTATCTCTTCAATCTGCTTACACCCATCTTCGCTCCCAGACTCCACCTTCATCCAATCCGCAGCTCATCCCCCCTCCCTCTATTACTTCTGCCAACGTTAGCTTCATTCTTCCTCGATAGGCGTTCGACTACGGATACTCGCAAGGTTCCCCTTTCCCCCCCCCCCCCCACACACACATGCGACTCGTCGTACTACGCTCGCACCGTCGTCATCTTATGCCTCCTCACCCATGATTGCGCGATCGGCACTGTCGCGGGCCAACCCGCGACCGACAACGCTCCTTTCCGGCGCCCTCGCTGCTTCCCTTGCCGCCGCTGCCGCCAAGAATCAGGCCACTGCACGCCCCGGACGCCTCCCGTGCATGCTGCCGGCGCATCATCGTCATCGCTACAGGATGCTCTCCACTACCACCACCGCCGCCACGCTCCCGCGCCTCCCCATTCTCGAGGCCGTGGCCGCCCACGACCCCGCGTCCACCGCCGTCGTCCACGCCCTATCGGGCCGCCGCTTCACCTATGGTGAGCTCCTCGGCGACGTCATCCGCGCACGGGAGCGCCTGCGCGAGGCGGTCGGCGGGAAGCCTCTTGCCAGCGAGCGCGTCGCCTTTATGATTGAAAATAGCTACGACTATGTCGGTATGTCTTCTGCACGCCCCCGCCTCCTCCTCGTCTTTCCTCTCCCGCCAGCGTCACACAGCAAAAACCAATCAAATCTTAAAAAAGAAGAAAAAGCACCATGCCGAGAGAAACGAATCGCTAAAGCAAAGCGTCGCCAGTCATGTTCCTAGCCATCTTGGCTGCCCGCGCCATTGCCGTGCCCCTCTCGCCGCCGTTTCCCGTCCCAGAGCTGCAGTACATTCTCGACCAGAGCGCCGCTTCGGTCCTCGTCGCCTCGCCCAAGTTTGCCGCCAAGGCCGCCGAGGTGCTCGCGACAGACCTCAAGCAAAAGCCGGTGTACTTTGAGCTTCCCAAGCACACGGGCGGCGGCGCCACCGAGGCCGTGGCGTTGGCGGACGAAGACGTATCCGGTGCTGGCCTGATGTTGTATACTTCAGGCACCACCAACCGACCAGTAAGACATACATCAAGAACCAAATACCGCAACCCTCACTAAATACATGTTCTAGAAAGGCGTATTGCTGCCCGAAGAGGTGCTGACGGCGCAATGTCGCTCTCTCCACCAAGCATGGCAGTACTCGTCCGCCGACCATCTCCTCCATGTCCTGCCCCTCCATCACATCCACGGCACCGTCAACGCGGTTCTGACGCCCCTATTCGCCGGGTCCTCCATCGAGTTCATGTTTCCTTTTAATGCCGAGGCCGTCTGGAAGCGCTTCGCCGCACCCTTCCTCCCCACCAACGGCACCAACAGTACTACCACACCTCCCGTCACCTTCTTCACCGTCGTACCCACCGTCTACAGCCGCCTCCTCGCCAGCCACAAGGCCCTCTCCCCCGCCATGCAGGCCGCCACGCGCGAGGCCCTCGCGCCGCGGCACCTCCGCGTCAACATCTCCGGGTCCGCCGCGCTTCCGACCCCCGTCAAGGCTGCCTGGGCCGCCCTCAGCGGCGGCAATGTGCTCCTCGAGCGCTACGGCATGACCGAGGTCGGCATGGCCCTCAGCTGCGGCCTCGCCTTTGCCGACCGCGTCGACGCCAGCGTAGGATGGCCCCTGCCTTCCGTCGAGGCTCGCCTCGTCGACATGGATACGGGTGCCGTCATCGAACCCGGCTCCGACGTCGATGCCCACGGCCGCGAGCGCCCCGGCGAGATCCAGCTCCGCGGGCCCACCGTCTTCCGCGAGTACTGGCGCAACCCCGACGCCACCGCCAAGGAATTCGTCAACGACGACGGCGACGGCCGCGGCAAGTGGTTCAAGACGGGCGACGTTGCCGTGCGCCGCCCCGTCGACACCGCCGGCCACAACAGCGCCACCACCCAGCACCAGAGCTGGGCGCGGGGACCCATGTACTTTATCCTCGGCCGCAAGACGGCCGACATCATCAAGACGGGCGGCGAAAAGGTCAGCGCCCTCGAGGTCGAGCGCGAGCTGCTCTCGCTGCCCGAGGTCGCCGAGGCCGCCGTCGTCGCCGTCCCCAGCGGCAGCTGGGGCCAAAAGGTCGGCGCCGTCGTCATCCTCGATCAAGAGCACGCCACCCGGTGGACGCCTCTCGAGATGCGCCGCGCCCTCAAAAGCAGGCTCGCCGCCTACAAGATCCCCCAGGTCATGAAGATTGTCGACCACATTCCCCGCAACGCCATGGGCAAGATTAACAAGAAGCAGCTCGTCAAGGCCGTCTTTGTCGACGAGACGAGCGGCGACGAACTGTAGCCGACTAGCATCACGTGCCATTGTATATAATGATCCAAAACACATAAATACTTAGTAAAATGCCTTCTCTCAGCGAGATCGCCTGTACAACCGACCCCGCTTCAGATACATTCTTGTACAATATTACTCGATTCAACGACGGACAAAAGTATTAGAAATCTATTTTGGTGGCAACGCATGACGACCAAGCATCTCCTGCTTCGAGTAGCCCCTAATGCGATCATGAATAAACTTCCTAGCAACGCCGCCATGATACTAACAAGACAAGAAAGACAGTTTTCTCTCTTCCCAATACTGATGTGGCCTAGACCGGTCATCAGGAATTTCACTCAAGCGGCAGACTCGGCTTCTGCACAATGCAGCCTGCCTCTCGCCGTCTTCCAATTTTAAATCACAAGAATGAGCGCACTGTTGCGCTGCAGCTCAGACTCGCAAAAAAAGGTTTTCTGGCTTCATTCAAACGACGTGCTTAGCCTTGGCTCTCGTGCTACCAGCATGGGCGCTGTCCATGTGTCCTGAAAAGTCGACCTGCTCGCTGTTGGGCAGCTCTAGAACCTCTTTGAAGCGCCGGCCAACGCTCAGGAGTATATCGCGGCCCTTTTCGTTCGAACGGCCCTTGCCACCGGCGACATCACCATCTCCGCGGCCAGGGATACTCCTACCAAGGGTACGAGTCCAGACACCGATACGATAAAAAGCCTTGCGGACATTGACAACTACGCCCATGACCTCACCATCCTCTTCCTCCTCGAGAGTCTCGCCGATAGCGGCCATGACAACCTGCAGCCAGAGACGATCGACGTCGACGTTGCGCTTGTCCTTGTACTGGTAAGACCACTTGCCACCATGCTTATTCTGGGGGTCTTCCCACTCAGGTCGCACGCCGGCCTTGAATAGGTGGTAGTCGGACTTGAGGGCGAGCTCCGAAACGGGAGCAACATTGTTCTGTCGGTGAATTAGATGCATGGTTAGCCTTGTTAAAGGGAATTCACTTACATAAACACCCCAGAACTCCTCGACAGAGTCAAATGTAATCACTTCCTTGAGCAGGTCATTCCAATTGTCGCTCTGTCGCATCATGTTAGCAATTAGATACTAATGAGGCGCACTGTAACTTCTGCATTGGTGAGTACCTTTCCACTTGGGGGCTTAGTGAACCAAAGGGTCCATTTGTTCTGAAGCGGGTGCTTGACGTTGAAGTTATCCTTGTCGTGGAACACGGTGACGGGCTTGCCCGAGTCAACAGCATCAGATTCTTCCTTTCCATTCGGGGAGATGGGAATTGTAGACAAATCGACTTGTTTATCCATGTTGGTGGCTTCTGCGGCGGCGGTAGCCATGATTGCCGTGTGTTATGTGGATGGAGGAAAAGAGATTCGGAAAGGCGGGAGTCGGCTCGCAATATGCAGCGGGGTGCAGAGGTCGACCAAGAATGCAGACGCAGGAAGTAGCTCTGCTTCGTTCCTTCTTTGTCGGTGTTGCTGCGGCTTTGCACCAGGCAAAGCAGTCAGAGAGAGGGCGGTCGGGTGGGGGTTGAGATGATGCGAAATTAGAGAAGGTAGGTATGAGGCGAGGTCCTGCTCACGTTTGAATAACTAGAACTTGGCCGCTGCGAGAAAAATTATTGGCGGGTGCGCCTCATCATTGTGGCTGGTGGCGCCACAAAATAGTTAGCAGCCACAATCCACATTCACAACAGTTTCACTTTAATACTGTCGCTGCAGCAAACAGAAGTGATCTAAGAACCTGGACGACAGCGAACCTTGATTTAACTGAAAATTCTGAGTTGAATTTGCCGAGTTCCAAATGCGCCAGTCGGTGCACCACTACGATCGGAATGCTCTTCCCGCTACCCTGGATATAAGGACGTTGTGTGCTCAGCAGAGTAGACGCCCCCAGCAAGATGAAGTTCGGTACTAAGTTTATGCAATGTTGTTTCTCTTCGCAGGTGTTGTTTATTCTATTGGTGCAAGTGTTGTGGCTACTGCTTTAAGTCAAGTGCGGGCTCATTCACATTGTCGTCTTTTGATTGATAAATGATCAGCATTGTGCATGTCGACTACGTCTTTTGACATAACTGATACCAAAAACTCCAAAAACTCCAAAAAAAGAACACGGGTCTGTCTAATCATAGCTAAGAAAAGAAAGCCTTTGAATGAAGAAAAAAAGTCTCAAATTAGCCTGGCAATAGAAGGCAGTCTGACTGATTATTTCTGGTTTTTAAAAACGCCAAAGCCTCCAAACACCCCCGCGAACCGACAACTGCTAACGCTCTTGATAAAAAAAAGAAAACGCTGGTCCACACAGGGATTGAACCTGTGACCTTCGCATTACTATATATTGGTGGTTGATTACCGATATTAGTACGACGCTCTAACCGACTGAGCTAGTAGACCCACGTGATTTGATGGCTGCGACGTCTGATATTAATATATATATAGCCTATGATGGCTAAAAATAGGATCTCGCACTCTGATTTTCGATACTCGGCCACTCTACGGATTATCATTCTCTTGTATGGAGTACTTGTGGCTGCATCCGGATGGGTGCTTTTACCGTGTCATTTGGCTTTGCTCAATCGCCACATGAAAATGTACCATTTTAACCGAATCACTAAAGTTTTCAAGCAGAGTTAGTTCTGCACGCAACTCAAATGTTGTTAGCTAGTCAACGCTTATACTCTAATCCTTATCCTGCACACTATTTAAATAGCTATCTTCGTTATTAGTCTGGCTGGCTTATTATTATGAGCCACCCACAGATTTCCCCTTGGCGCTACGGGCCGCCACTGTGAATGAATCCACCAATCCACCAACGGCCTACGGAGTACGGATTACAGTAGGCAAGTATTACCAGTACCTTACGGTGCTTACCTGTATTGTCCTCGCCAGCCACTGCTCAGCCACTTTATTGTTGAGGCGCATGGTCAGTGTTTCAGAAAAGCATCTTGGTCTGCAATCCTCATCGTCGAATCTACTGGTTGACAATTGTATTCATTCTCGATGGGAAAATTAAAGTCATGAATACTATCAGCTGCTAGCAAAATCACTGCATCTGGCTCGATGGATGCGGTACCTAGGCCTTACCCTTGTCCTGCAGCTCACGCCTAGAACCTTGCTCTCCAGCCACCTCTTTTTGCTGTGTAACTCGACACAGCCCGACGCCTCTCGACCCGTCAGCTCAAGTTGGCTCTTCCTAATGCTGCCCGACCGCTTCTTCCACCTGCGTTTGATGCTTGCTCTTCCTGCGAGTCATTGACTCAATACGGAACCAACCATACTGCTACCTGATCTACCACTGCTGCAAGTACCTGTCGGCTGGCCCTGTCGTCAGTCTGGCCATCCTGGATGTCGCAGTGAGTGATTCGCAGCTAACCAAGCTTCGCCAGTGCTCCTGCTACAACTCATCGTTGACAATTCCTGTGCTTCAGCATCTCCATTATCCTTTCGTGCATATTAACCTTGGCCATCGTGCCAAGCTGGGCCCTTCAGCTTACCGAAGCTCCACCTTGTCCATCTCAAAGTATCCGAGCGATACTTAGTTACTGTGTGCTCCTTGCCGTCTCAGGCGTGTGCCGGGGTGTGTTGAAGTCAGGTCTGCAGGTTTAACCTTCTGCCTGGCTGGAGCTTTGCGTGCGGATACTCAGCCCACCTTGCATGTACATAACTTATTCTGCATTTGCATTATTTCTATAGGATACTCACCGGCCTTGTTCCTCGACTTACGCGGCCGACATGTCGGCCCAAAACTGGGGCGACCTGCCCAAGCACAAGAGAGGCGGTCACCAGCGCCGGTCTAGCGAGTATGAAATCCCCCCGACTGAACAGAGACAATCCTTAGATAGTCAACCTCCACGACGGACGAATCGTACATCGATACAAACGGCCTATACCGAAGCCCCTTCCGAATCAATATTTGCGCCGGGTTCGCCAACGGCCTCCTGTGTTACTCCTCAGGGTTTGGCTCCACGACCACCTTCATACCAGAGGGCTGGCTTCACAGACTTCGCTCCGGACAGCTCCGATCATAAGCCACGTCGGATGCCGTACGACGAGGAGTACTTCTTGCAAGCCTCCCCATCCCTGCCAGAAGCGCCCGATCTTCCTCGCGGACCGCCAGTTAGCTTTCGAGAGCCATACGTGCCAATCGCGATGCCCCAGACTACGGTCACCAGGCACGACCCGGTATCGCACCATCAGCCTCATACAGGTAACTCGAACGAACAGTCGTACTCTACATATCCTGCTATGCCTCTGGCAACAGCTCATGCGCCAGCGGCTGCTTCCACCGGCGACGATGCTCGCCGTCGCGTCGCTGATGTTTCTGGGCAACCTCGAAGGACTTCTACAAGCACAACGTCTGATCGACGCAAAATGTTGGCCACCAATCGCTCACCGCTGCAAAATCTGGAGCTGACGCTGGACAGCATGACAAAGGAAGAAAAACGAGCCCGCGTGGAAGCTGCAGAGCAACGAGCTAGGCAGCGGGCAGCCAAAAATGACCAGGCTCCGTCTGGCTCTGCTCCCGCCAACGGCCCGATTACACCCCATGATGTCGGCACCAAACAGCCCATACAACAAGCATTACCTAGGCAGCAGGCTGTCGAGAAGGCTGCCGCTCAAAGGCCACGGCCTGCAGCGCATCGCGACTGGACACAGCAAATGCAGCCAGATAGCCTGACACCCATTTCGACTGGGCACCAACTGGCAGAAGAGCCTGATCAGTCACAGGGCCAGCCTTCTTCGAATATACCCCAACGAAACCTAAGCTTCAAGGATCGTGCTGCCAGATCGCCCGTTGCTCCCCGAGATGCGGAGATGCTCGACCCTATAAAGCAAAGGGCTTCGCCTCTGGCACCCCCCAATCCGGTGAATCGCACAGGAAGCAATCGACTCGGACAAGAGCCGCAAGATAAATTTCAACAGTATCGTCGCATTGCCTCCGAAGCGGTTCCTCGCAACTATTCCCCCCTCGTGCCTGTATCTGGCAACGCTTTTTCTCGCTCCGCCAGGAACAAGGAATTACCGCCAATTCCAGTATCTGACGACCGCAATGGCAACCACGGTATGAAGGATTTACAACAACACCAAGCGACGAACGACGCAACCCCACAAAGCATTCAACGTCGGGCTACAGAGCCGAACTATGGTCGCCAATACGCGGCAGATCAGAGATACCCAGCAGCCGCGGCTCAACAAGAATTTCCTGCGACAACTTACTCTGGGGAACTGCACTCGGAAGATGGTATAGCTCTTGCCCGGAGGCGACTTGAAAGAGGTGACAGTGATGATGAGCCGACAAAAGAGAACCAACATCGTCTAGGCAACATGCTCTTTTCTAACCCAGATACCCTACGTCCTGGAGAAGGCTTGTATAAGCCGCCAGAATGGTTGGATGAATGGGAAAAGGCAGCTGTTGGAACGCTGTCTGGACCGCTTCTAGATGTTCACACCGAAAACTCCTCACCGGATGGTTACAGGGCATGGTGGGAGGGAGAAAAAGGTCGCCACACCAATGCGACAGCTCGTCTCCGAAAGGCGGAAGCTTTTGACGGAGAGTATGATGATACCACTGAGCCCACGCGATTCAAGCCTCAACTCTACCTGAAGTGTGGCCCACTTCTGAGATACTGCGGTATACGCAAGGAAGCTATTCCTTCCAGGTCGCAACGAGGCCATCCTGTATCTGAACGGGAAATGTGGCGCGGTAGCATCCTGATCGTCACAAAAGACTCTGATTCTTCTTATGAAATCGCTCCGATGCTTCGCCTATTTGTGCAGGACATTGGCATTTTGCCACCGGCTCCGCACCACGTCAAAGGGGACCTATCACCGGAATATGTTGATCCCATAGCTGGCCACCCAAAACTCGGCCGCCGCGGAGAAACGCTTTACGTGCGTCCTGTTGAGCACTTGCAAGAAGGCAAGGATCTTTCAATGGACGAAACTGAAAATGGGTTATTCGAGATGACGCGAAGCCCCCCCGATGTGCAGCCCCCGGACGGTTCACCTGATGTTCCCGGGTCCTTTGCTAGTCGCAAAAGCCAAGCGGGCCTTGATGGTGAGAAGGCGCAGAAATACAAGGACGTACGTGGGTTTCGACTCCATACCGAAAGAGGGTACACCTTTTGGCGCTTCAATGTCGAGATTGAGCTTCGACAAAAGCAGCAGCGTATTGCTTATCGCATAAATCGAGGACCATGCATGGCCTTCTGGGTACCTCCGAGGGGACAGACGATGAACATCATGTTTCACAGTTGCAATGGCTTCAGCTTGAGCGCGAAGCCAGATGACTTCAGCGGCCCGGATCCCATGTGGCGTGACGTTCTCAATACACACCAAACGAAGCCATTCCACGTAATGATTGGCGGTGGTGACCAAATTTATAATGACTGCGTGGCCGATCAATGTGAGCTGTTTGGAGACTGGCTCGATATGAGAAACCCCTTCGACAAACATCACACGCAATTTACTCTGGAGATGCAGAATCAACTGGAGGAATTTTACCTGGAACGGTATTGCATGTGGTTCTCACAAGGTCTCTTTGGGTTGGCCACATCTCAGATTCCCATGGTCAATATGTACGATGATCATGATGTCTTTGATGGCTACGGCTCCTACCCTGACCACGACATGAAGTCACCGGTGTTTTCTGGCCTCGGTGCAGTTGCTTTCAAGTACTACATGCTATTCCAACATCAAAGTGTTATACCGGAAACGGAGACATCGGAGCCGAGCTGGATTCTGGGACTCAACCCTGGTCCATATATTCATGAGCTTAGTCGCAGTATCTACGTCTCCATGGGCGGCAAAACCGCCTTGCTGGCCGTGGACACACGCACCGAGCGAACAGAACATGACGTCATTGACGAGAAGACATGGGAGAAAATTACCAGCAGGTTGTACCTTGAAGTCCGCAAAGGGCAGGTCGAGCATCTCCTGGTTTTGCTTGGTGTTCCGATTGCATACCCACGAATGGTTTGGCTTGAAAACATCCTGACATCAAGACTTATGGATCCTGTCAAGGCTTTGGGGAGAGCCGGTATTTTCGGTAAAATGCTCAACAACATTGATGGCGGCGTGGAAGTGCTGGATGACCTGAATGACCACTGGACAGCCAAGCATCACAAACAAGAGCGAAGCATTATCGTGGAAGATCTACAAGACCTCGCCATGGACAAGTCGGTACGAGTCACGATTCTCAGCGGTGATGTGCATGTTGCAGCCGTGGGTCAATTCTACTCGAATCCGCAACTTGGACTGGTAAAGCACAAGGACCCGCGATATATGCCCAATATCATTTCGTCAGCGATTGTCAACACGCCGCCCCCGGACATCCTTGCCGATGTTCTCAACAAACGCAATAAAGTTCATCATTTCGATAAGAATACAGACGA